TCTTTCCGTCAGTTAATCCTCTGAGAAATGCTGTCCGTTCTCACTCTCAGAAGATGAAACTTCGCTGACATTAAATAGAAAAACAGTGATATGACTTTCCTAGCAGCGAGGCGAGTGTAGGTGGTTTTACTTTTAGTCAGCCCAAGTGTTGAACCTCATGTAGACAAAAATCAAGACTGGGGCATTATAATCCAAACTGTTACGAAGGAAAGACTACATTTTGAGTTAAAGCTGGATGGCAGACTACCAAATTGCTCTACGGTTCAAAACAACAAATCAATAGTCGCCCTTTAGCGATCGTTTAAAATGTGACAGCGTTCAGCATGAATTGCTTATAAAGTCAAACCAGACATCCCCATCTTTCCTGACACATGCCCAAGTCTGCCAAACAACACTTTTCTTTAAGAAAACACCCTGTGCATTCAACTATTCAGCAAACATTCTTCTTCTCTTCTTGTTTTCAGAAATACACTTAAAAGTGTTTTATGAATTCTCTTACCAAGGACACTTTCTAAAAAAGAAAAGGTAGGGGGTGTTCATTCATTTCTTTTGAAAGTTTGCATGCACTGCATTTGAGGTTTTAAATGAAGTTGCTATGGTTGCCGGTATCAAACATTGAAAAAGTAAGCCTTTGTAAACTCCTTCCAGGGTGAAGATTTTCAGAAACTCTGTTTATGGTGTTTACATGTAGCTGGACACTGAGTTTTGGGCTTTTAACTTTGTCACACTGCGGGCCGGTTGCTCTTCGGTTTGACGTCACTTTTGTTTACATGAGATTAGTGGAATGGCAGACGTAAACAAGACTAGTACTGGTGCTAACGTTGCTAACTGGACCTTTTACATGCTCACACATACAGACAAAGTTGTTCTCCCCATATGTTGACGAGTAGAGACGCCTGAAAGGACTAAGCAGGTCACTGCTACATCGTACAACGCTCTGACGACCCAAACCCTGCCGCCAACGAGCGGTTAGGTACTAGATCTGGTCAGACTTTTTTTTTTTTTTTTAAAGATTTATTTTGGGCTTTTCGTGCCTTTAATGCAGAGAGAGGACAGTGGATAGAGTTGGAAACCAGGGAGAGAGAGTGGGGAATGACATGTGGAAAGGGGCCACAGGTGGAAGTGAACCCGGGCCTACCGCTCGAAACGAGAGTCTCAATATATGGGACGCGCGTCCAAACCATTGCGCCACCAGCGCGCCCCTGGTCAGACTTTTTATATGTCACGGATATCGATGTTGTCTCCGAGTGTGACTCCCGTGAGCAATCATGGGATTGAATCTCTCTGCTCAACAAGTCTTACCACTGTCAAGACGAATAAATGCATCTAATTGCACAAGCTTTCAGTCAAGCTTTATTTCAAAAAACTGTTTTGTCAAATACTTGAAATGTACTCCACCACTTCCCACTTGGACCTTTAGTTTATATAATTAATGTTCATGTTAATCAAATATTGTTATCCAGAGTTATTACTCTTTACTGAGAGTTAAAATGAAAGATCTGGGAGTCCTGAGATATCTCACAGGTGATAAACCAGACGCTGTTTAAGAGGTTTTCTGTCAGATTCACAGATTACACATATCTTCACTAACATAGATTCAAACATTGATGTAAAGGGGAAATTTAGGCCTCGCTTTTTTTAACATCAGGTGAAGATTATGTTTTTACTTCTCTGAGAAAAAATGTTTTACTGTGCAATTTCTTTCTTTTTTTTTAAAATGTGACCCAATTTCTTTCCCCTTCCTTCAACCCGGGTGGTTGACAAATGCACGGTCTCGTGTGGAGGAGGCAGACAGACACTGCATGGAAAAAGATGCTGATGTTTCCTGTCGAATACAGAGATCCACCTCAGGCGGCGTCAGCTCCGTCCTTATTTGTCATAAGTGTCCGCTGTTTCCCATGGCTAAAGACAAAGGCCAAAGAACGTATGAGGAACATGCATTTTTAATGTGACATTCTCATCAAATTCACCACAGTGGACTGAGCAGAATGCCAATGACGCTTTATTCCTCTTCCAATTACAGGAACACGATGCAACAATATGAACGCAGGCCGTGAAGGGCACATCATGATGAAGCCTCAACAGTTCAGCACTTTACCTCTCGTGAGCCTGACCTTGTGAACTTCATACTGCCAGTGGTCTCATGTGGTCACAAAATATCAAGTTTTAAAAAACAGTGTAATTGGAGAACATTAGTCAAAGGAGCTACTTGTGTGAAAATGTGAAGAACAACAATGTCCGCCTTTCAAAATCAACAGTTTAATGTCAAAGGAATCTTTTCCTTCTCTTTACGTCTGCTGTCAAGAGAGTGATGCGTCCACTGATAGTGAATAATACAAGCAGTATATCCCCATTACAGCTCGCATTATTTATACAACATGACATCCCGGTGAATGCTGATTTGACCAGACTCACCTTTATCTTGTCGCAAATATGCTGACCATTACTCTGTCGCCATTATTTGACAGCCCTGAAATGTCACCAGAGACTGAGAGATAGTCGAATTCACAGCCTCGCCTGGAGAGAGAAGGAGAGCAGGGAATGTAAATAATCCTTGCTGGCACCAGATCCAGGCTTTCATCTGTGATATTCTTTTTGCAGTGTTCGGTCCACACTCCATCATTATAATGAGGGAGGTTCAATTAGACAAGGTCTACAATGGGGGTTTTAAATGTCACAGTGCAGGTCCTGACATTTCTCTGTTTGATATGGAATCAGAATGGGAGCGGAGGAGTTCACAGGGAGAACTAATCTCAACTTCCGAAATAACAAATTCCACCCTGTCACAAAGCTGTGAGGGAAGGCCAGCGCTGCCACTTTGGAGAGACATTTACACCCATAACAATGCTAACTTTGCTGCTCTAAGAGCATTCTAATTATTGAATCTATTAGCATTGTTGAGGCTTGTAATTAGCCCTCGGAGGTTAGCATGTTTATGGGAAGTATGTAATGAAGGCCCTCTTGGTATTTTATCCAAAAGGTTATGTGGTCGTCCAAAAACAATTTCAAAACAATATTTAAACTTGTGGTAATTGGTGTGACCACAATTACCAAAAAGGTTTACCTACGGCTTTCCTCTGTGAGCCTTTAAGGTTACTGGACGGCATGTTAAGCAGTTATCGTTTGAGTGTAAATTAATACGATTTCCATGTCACAACGTACACTGAAAGGGTTAAACGCTTTTGACTCTGTCAGTCATTTGAGGAACCTTTGACAGATAAGTGTGAAAGCTATAGTGAGAGCGAGCTGAGATGTTTTTTGTTGTTCCTGTTAGTTTAGGAATGGATGTTAGCAACAAGATTTGGAGTGAGGGGTTTAGTAGACAGTTTTGTGTACATGAGAAATACTCAGATGTATTCTAAATTGGCTATATTTCTAAGATTGATATGGGAAAACACTGGTCACACTAAAGACAACATAAACATGCGTTGTGGCTTTCTGACTATCCAATGGTTAATCCCGCCAGCCAGCTGAAAAATGGGTTAGAAATTAAAGTAAGCAAAATGTAATAGGCCTGATGTCTTTTATTAAGATTACGTGTGTGGTTTAAATTAAAAGAGGAATTCAAATTCAAATGTTTGAATGATAGCACAAATTGGATGGGGAGTAGCTTAGCCAGCACTGTGCGCCGAAGCTAACAGTAAAGTTAGCTCAGTGTTAACAGTAACAAACCAACAAAGTTATTACATTTAATCTTGTAGACTTATACAAACTGCCATAATAAATCAGAGATATGGACAGTGAACACCTGTAAACTGAAATAGAACTTTTAAGATGTGTTTCCCCACCGTGCTCTGCTTTGTTATGTAGTTTAAATTAACTTTAATGCAACTTCACCTACAGCTTGAAAACTACTTTCACAAGACGCCCACCAACCAAATGTGCAAATTTGTCGGAACGAACACACAATTTAGTACTCTTTAATTGGGATCTGAGTAAATCAGGCCCCAAGTTCTTCCCCCCTAGCAATTAACACCGCCTTAGTGACAGCTTTCTATCGGCTATTTCTAGAGGGGGATGTTTAGGTCACCGACAGAGAAGACAAGTGGGAGAAAAACAAACGATGCAGTTGACAACGCTGAAAAAACACACAAAACAATTGTGTCACTGATTCAGAGTTTGAGAAATATGAAGGACCGAAATGAGAGAGAGATCACACCCTTCAGCCTTTTACCATATACTTACACATGAATCTTAATCCAGAACACAAGATTTGAACCTGCTGTAAAGAGTGTAACAGATAAATGCACCTATATTCACGTTTAATAAATGTATTAAAGATAAATCTGTTTCCCGGACAATATGTGAGAATGACAGATTTTGTCGTTTATAAGTCCATCCTCAACAAATTCTCAGCCGTCACATTCACTTTTCTGTACCCAAATTTGATTGTTGTTACGATTCCTGTTAATTTAAGACTGTTGAGACTAAAGAGATCATCTTGTCATCCATCACAGCACTGACCCAAAGAGTGAATCTGAGGCCAGGTGGAGTAGGAATACCCTTTATATACTGCTATGGCCCTTGTAAAGAAGACTTGTAAACAACTGGAAGAAAAGAGCGTCTTGTGTAATTTGCATACGCTGTGTCATAACAGGTCAGTTTTTAAATGTGACCGTATCGAGACAGGGCTGGCAGGAACAGCATGCTCCCTGGTATGAATGTCAAAAAACAGACTGTTGCCTTGCTATCAGTGGCAGAAATAGAGGCCCAACAGTGGATGATTTAACGTCCCCCTGCATGCTTCGGCCCGACTCTAATAAGCGCTGAATTGTTCACAAAAATAGGGAGAAAAACCAGAGAGGGTGAAAAGATAGAAATCCATTTGTGAGTCTCGCCTGCTACCATTTGCATGGCGATGAAGGCCCCGAGTGTTCAGCAGCGTTGAGATGCGAGTCTCAGACAATAGAGCCTGTGTTTGTTCTTCTCCAGGAAGTTTGAAAAGGGCAGAGAAGGGGAGAGAAGAAGAAGAAAAGGGGAGGTCGTCAGCGGAGGGGGATTACGCATTGTGAGAACCACGCGCGTTTCGCTTCTGCTATTGTGGCGACTGAATTGCTTTCCAGTACCAGGGTATTTAGTCAAGCAGATTGTGTTTCTTTACAGCCCGGGATGATCTCTCTTGACGGCGTTTGGTGAAGTGGCTTGAGGGACAGCAGCATCACACAAACAGGTGGGTGTGTTGAAGTCTGCCATATGAGCTATAAGTGATGCTCTTTAGTCAGAAGATATTCAGAGGCAGTTTTATGTTTTATCCAGGAAGAGATAAAATACGAAGAGTGGCGAGATGTTTGAACATAAAAGCAGCAACAGAAATGCTGAAATTCATGATAAATGAATGCACACTAGTCTAAAGGAGTCCAGGGGGTCTTTGTGTGTTCACAGCAAGAAATCTGTAATTTTCTGCACTTTTGAAAATGGGCTGCTGGCTTTTAAGCAATGTTGTACCATCTGAAATAACCAGTGTTGGGCAAGTTACTGAAAATGTGTAATTAGTTATAGATACTACTATCATTAAGTTACAGAGTTACAGCATTTTAAAAGCAACTACTTACCAAGGCTGAGTATTTCCCACAACCCAATGATATGATATGTATCTCGATACAGAGGCTGTGATACGATACAAATTTGTGATATACATTGATTTTAAATAATGACCTACTCAGAATTCACTATAACAGCTGTTCTTTATTGTTGAGAATAACAGCAGAGGCGTTTTAAGGATCCTACGACTTAAAACACTTCAGTTCAGGTCCTCAGAGATCCTAGAAATACATTTAAATATTTGAACCACAGAGCTATGGCTACGGTGGTATTGTGAACAGCTTTGCAGCCGAATCGATTCTGTAACATCTGCATCGATACATGTATTTGCAAGGAGAGCATGACGATAAATTGCCATATAGATTTTTTGAGCACAGTTCTAGTAGTTACTTGGTAAATTAACTTTAACGTTACTTTTTATTCCGCTTCTATCCTCAGATTAATGATCACATTATTTTGAACTGCTGCAGCAGAATTGTGTTGGGACAACTCACACGTTTCAAACAACACTGTTGTCATATTCAATAAAGGTATTTTAACGTTTACATCTCTTAAGGTAACAGACTCAACAGTTGATATGAGGCACGTCAATCACAACCAACCTGTCTATCAGTCTACTAGTTTGACTAACAGGTGAAGCCTTGTCTGTTAGTTTGGATTGTCTCCTCCTTGGTCATCGTTGTCTGTAGCACTCTGCGCTCCCTGATAGTAATGCATTATTTTATATAATTGTAACAGATTTAATACATCTCAAAAGTAAACATATATGTTACTAGTTATGATAAATAGCAGCGGTGTTGCTTAGTAACCCATTAATCCCAATAACTGACAGTTTTAAACACTCAGAAGTGATTTCATTAATACGTGATGAAATTGTGAAAAACGTTTTTTTTAAGTCAGATCTCAGACCTCTATCATTATTTTATTCATCCCATATTGAGAGGTTGATTTCTGTATTCAGGCCTTTAGTTTGCAACAACACTCAAACTTTGGAATGTATATTCCCATATTTAGAAATTGAGCGTTAAATTCCTTTCAGAGGTTATTCCAAATTAAATGAGGATTTTAGAGTTTTTAAAAACTTTCTTCAATAAGGTTTAAGCTGTCATTTTGCTCTGTGAAATAACTCAATGCCTTTAACTCGAGGGCAGTAAACAGGGCAGTGAAAACACACCACACAACCAGAGCTCATGGAGAGAAACCCCTCGGTGAAATAATTAAATGTCTGGATACCGTTAACATAATGTGGCATTTCAGTACAATCCCAGCCAAAGGCCCGTAAACAATATGACTGAAACACTGGGGGGCATAGGGTCGTCATACTTTCCTTTTAAATGTGTGAGTTATGATGATTGTCTGTTCATGATGCTGCCCATGTCTGATACGCCCTGAAACAACCTGTCAAACATTTTGTCACAATCTTCTCCTTATCACCCACTTAAGGCTTATAAGATGAACCTCTCTAGTTAATATCCAAGTGTCTGTCTTTTTTTATCTTTTGGTAAAGTTTTAAGCGGGCATCGGTTAATTGTTTTCCATGAAAAGAAGGAAGACATGTCCCATCACTGATTACTGTCGGTGCGAGTTTCGTGACACTCTGCTAACCAGCCATGATTTCCACTTGTGCACATAATAAAATCAAACAAATTACTTACTAGCAAGTACATGATGGCTTGACGTTCCCCTGTTGTTTCGAGCTCGGTCTCTGGACTCATTTGAGGACCTGATTTAGGAAACATGAACTGCGTGTCAGTCAGCGTTGTTGTTTCACAGAGCCGAACAGTAAACAAGTCTCATGATAGGTTCCCAAATGACCAATTAAGGACAGTTTGTCTTGGAAGGGTGATCTGAGAGAAGCAAGCCTTAACGGATGGATTTTTGTGAAGAATGCAGGATAATGATTTAATGAGTTTGAAGTCTAAATATACACTTTTTTACTTTATTCACATTTTTTACTTTACCTTTTTTTTTTTTTTTTTAATTGATCCACAAGGCCAAGTCAGAAGATGAATGCACAAAGAACCACATCATTAATCGTCATATTACATTAGCATCCTTAGCAGTTAGCGTCGGCGGTGCAGATTGATATTGATCGTGTCATCCACAATGTCAAGCAGAAGCTGCCTTTTTCTTTATTGCCGTGTTTTAACATTTGCATTGGCACATTAGACACATTTTAACGGCACCCTGGAACCATCTCCACAACAGAGTGACATTTTATTAGCTAGAACACATCACCATATAGGAAAATAATGTGACGGTCTCAGCGCATCTAGTGCTTAACATTGTGAGACTGCAGCTCATTGTCATTCTGTCATGCGGTAGAGCAGCGTTCAGTACATACAGGCTACAGGAAGTTGGAAATGGGAGGAAGGCCTATTAGAGGTAATGAATGGCCATCAACCACAGGGCACTCTGCATGTACTGCATGTCACGGTGAAATGAGATTTTCTTTTGAGAGGACACAATTGACCTTAGAGTTCAATGGTGTTTCTTTTCTTATTTTCACTTTCTTTCAATTTTTCTCAGAACATGTACGCCTGTAAATGTAAAGTAATGGGTTTAGAGTATGAAAGGTCTATCGCTATATTTGACACTTTTAAAAGCAGGCTTTGGCAGGATCATCATTATTGTCAACCACCATCAAGCCAGCTGTCACGCACGGACATGTGTTTTACTTGCTCCCTAATACCTTTGCTATATACAGACCTGGAGGGAGGATTTTTTTTTTCCTCTCCTTTTTTTTTTAAGGAGGGCATACTCATTATTTCCCCAGAATTTCATCACTTATTTCGAGAAAGGCCAGTCTTAAATTGGCACCTAAACATCTGTTGACCTGTGCACTACTCCAGCCACATTGGTAGAGCCTGATACACCCAGGGCGATTTTTTAAGCAGACTCCTTGGCATGTTGGCAGCTGTGCAGTTGCTTAGAGTAACATCATCTAGGGCTGTTGTCTACATTTGGCTCAAGGCGTTCAGTTTGGGCGCATGCTTGGCAGCCCTATGAAAGACCATAACGGCTCACGATTCACTGGCCACTAATTGGAATGTCACTCCGCAATGCTCCAAGATATGAAAACGACCCCGTAAAGAGGTACATAAGCACAAACACATACTTTCATTCATGAACTGTATCGAAATTGAATTCCAGCAACAAAAGCCCTCATCGGTAATTGATTGTACCAGCTCATTACAAATGGGTCCTGACGGCTAATTTACTTTTGCAAGATTAAACATGAACATTATGAGCTGTTAAAGCATTAATACTGAATCTACTCCAACTGCTGAAACGACTTCCTGCACTAGATTTTTTAAATTTCCACCGAGACCACCCATGTAAAAAAATGTATGCACTTGCATTTCTGTGAAACACTTGGTTTAAAGCACCCATGCTGTGGTACTGTATACATTATGTGCAGATATTAGAGTGTCAAAATCTCTAATAAAACTGTTTGGAATTACTGCTGATGTGACCTCAATCCCTTCATAACAACTGACCCCGCTGAGTGCTGATGTATGGTTGAACCTTGACTGAGGAGCAGCAAAGTTGGATTGCAGTATGTCAAGGCAAATAGTTGCTGTTGCTATACACACATACAAACATGTATGAAAGAAAGAATAGAAAGAAAAGTCAAGGAAACACACCTACGCTGCTTGAAATATACTTTGAAAAGAAACTTTCTCATGTGATAGTGGAAAGTGATAATTTCCTATGAGCAAAAGGTTGTGATGTCAGTCAAGCCTAGACACCAGTGATCCCTCTTGGAAACAATGGATGACAACACTGTGATTGAGGCCTTATTTTAGTCTGTGACAGTGACATGCTGCACAAAGTTGACAGATGATAATTACTGCTGCTAGTAGAACAAAAAGAAAATGAACATGTATAAAAAGATACATACAGATATAAAGAGTTAACTGACACATCTCTTCAATTAAAGTCTTCAGCAGTGACGTCAGCTCAAGTTCTTGTATTTGTGTTGTTCAAACTAATCTGCTGTTCCGTCTGACTTTTTCCGTCCTTACACTCTTGGCCCTGATCTTGGTCCTGATTATAATTGGAGCATTGATTTGACTCATGGTTTGTCAGAGGCATGTGTGTCTTTGTTTTCCATGTCTGGGGAGACATTGATCTAATTAGAAGTCTTCATTAGTCATCTGCAGAGTGCAGTGTCATGCTTAAGGAATGATGTTCAGGCCCTGCTCCCCCCTTGTGAAACACAATACCAGGCCTTGTCTGAATTACAAAACAGAGGGCTGTTTTCAGCTGCCAGTTCAGGACTGCAGGATGCAAGACAATGAAACTCGGCTCTGGCTTTTTAATGCTGAAATGTGCTATACGTCTAAGTTGTTGCTGTGCAATGGATTTGACTAAGGCTTAATGAAATCATTATAAAGTTTATTTAGAGCAGTGGTTCCCCAACCTTTTCTGTCAGTACTAACCTCCTTTTTCAGCTATTTATTATGTATAGCTGACATTAGATGTTTAAACCATTATCATGAAGTAAAGGCTGAAAGTTCTTTAAAAAAAAAGGGTTAAAATGTCCAACATACAGTAAGCTGAAAGAAAAACTTTTATCCATATTGATGAAATGTAAACTATTTCAACCATCGTCACCATAGTGACGCTAACAATGACTTTAACCATCCATCACATCATTAGTTAGTTTAGCTAACGTTGAACAATTTCAGCCATTCATTCTTAAGTCAAAGTGAAATGCAGTTAATAAATGATTGAAATGTTTGACCGTACTTCTTACATTTTTGACTTCAGCTTAACATAATGGTCCAATAATAAAAATCCAACAAGCTGCAGTTTACTCTTAACAATTCCAACCTTCCATCCAATATTTTCCACCAGCAGTTCATTACTTTGAGCCGACTATTTGAACAGTTAATTTGTGAAACATACCTGCCTTTTGGGCATGGTGAATCAAACAAAGACTGTTCAGTGATTCAACTCCTCATTTGGATATTATCTCATTCAAGTAATGTCCATGTTGTGTAATCGAATATTTACCCTACATGATCTTTACATTGTGAAGCAACTGCAAAAAAGTACACGTTCACGAAGTTACTCAACTTTTTAATGTACAGCATGCTCTAACTCAAACTGAAAACCAAACTTAAAACCCTCTCACTAATGTCAGATATCAATGCACAGCCTCTAAATGTGGCTTTGTCATTTAAAGTATATTAATTGTTTTACATATTACATATCTTTGTAAAATAAAAGACTGTGTATTTGGACATTATCCTAGACTGATAGTGATTTAAATTTTATTCCGTTTGCAATCTCTGTGCCCTGCTGAAAATCCTCACTGCAGTCATTAATTAAATTGTTAACTTTTATTTCAGAGACATGAGCATGCATACAAACCACGTCTTAACAAGATGGGATACAGCCCTGCCGGGATCATGAATTACTGCGCTGTCGAATGAAGAATTGGTAGCACTGGAACGAGTGATACCTCTTTCTTCTTTCCAAAAAAAAAAAAACCATGGGAAGTGCAGAGGAAATTCAAATGGAAATGCACGGATGGTCAGTAAAAATGAGCATATCCAGGGTTTTGGCCATGGTGACGGTCTTTTCTATGATTCCTGGCGGAGTGCTGAGCGATATAAGAGGTACTAAGGGCCTGGAAGCCCAACAAATGGCCCAGGGGTCCACTCATCTACATCGCCGCCTGAAGAGAGGCTGGATCTGGAAACAGCTGTTTGTCCCCGAGGAAGATCCCACTCTGCGAGTTATTGGCCAGGTACCGCTTCTGTTTGAACGTCCTCCATGTCCTTGATACGGTACTTTCCTCAGTCAATGCATGTCGCCTGGTAACCTCTGAAATAAAAACAAGCTTTCATTTCACCCTCCTCTTTTTATGCAGCTAAAGTCTGACTCAGACCGAGGCGAGTTTTCTATCAAGTACATACTCTCAGGAGAAGGTGCCGGCGATGTCTTTGAGATAGATGAGTATTCTGGGGAGATCCGGACGCTGAAAAAGCTCGACCGAGAGGAAAAGGCCTTCTACGTCCTTCAAGCCCAGGCTATCAACAGGAGGTCCAATGAGCCAGAGGAACCCCAGTCGGAGTTCATCATCACGGTTCAGGACATCAATGACAATGTCCCCCAGTTCCAGAATGAACCATATGTGTCCAGCATCCCTGAGATGTGTCCAATGGGTATGTTCCAGAAAGATGAGACACTGGTAACAGTAAGAGTTACGAGTCAGGATGTAGAATTCAATTTAGAGTGTCAACTTGTCGAAAATACCACACATAAAATACAATTACTGTGGTTTAATCCAAGTCCGGACACTGACATTAGTTTAGACTTAGACATTTTGATTTGTCAGGGAAATGTGGATTAAAGGGTAATACTCATGAAGAAATTTGTTTCACTTACAAATAGCCAACTGTATTTTATTGAAAAGATAACAACTTATTGGCTTTATAGTTTTAAGGGATATAAACTACTTCTCAATTGAATTTCATTAACTTAAATCTCCCAGAAAACAATGAGTAGAGGTTATATGAATGTCTGTCATCTGTCCCCACTCAGGAAGTCAAAAGTATTGGATTCTGAAGGGTAGCTCTGGTGCCTTAAATTTCTAAAATAATGTTATTATATCCACTGCCCTTTCATACCACAAACATTACCATTTCAATTTATATGTAATCTGCTTTTGAAGCATAATATCTTGCCCATAATAAATCATAATGCATTTGACTTGGAAAGAGAAAGTGAGAGGGTAAGGTGGAAGTGTGGGCTACTGGAAATAAGAAATCCCGTGATAAATTCCCTGCCTGTGAGAGAGAGAGAGAGAGAGAGACAGAGGGAGAGAGACAGAGTGCTTTCTGGGGGGAAAATAGAACAAGATAGACAAGAGGACTGAAGGAAAAGAAAGATAGCGTAGAAAGCAAGGTGAGAAGAAGGATATGGTCGGCGGAGAAAAGGGTAGCAAGTGCGAAAAAGATAGAGGTGAAACTGTATCAGAGTGCGAGGCAGAGAAATGGAGGGGCAGGTGGATCGTGAGAGAGACATCGCTGTGGGGCTGGAGAGGCTGTCACACACACCTGCACCGCCTTCCTGAGTTGTGAAAGGCCAACGCTGCTCCCCTCCCCCCGCCTCCCCCCTTAAAACCCCCCTCCACTCCTTTTGTCAACATCCCTCCGCTATAACCCTACCACAACCTCGCCCCCCTTCCCTTCTTCCATTTGCACTGCTCTCCCTCCCCCCAGAGCCAGACAGACAGACCCTGCGGGACTGTGGCATAATCACTTTATTTCCCCGTCGACTGGAACTGCAGCCTGAGCTAACTCCGACTGTGTGATCTGCTTCCCCCCCACAGGGACCACAGTGGCCCAGGTGACAGCCACAGATGCTGATGATCCAATGTTCGGAAACAATGCCAAGCTCATCTACACCATCCTGCAGGGGGAACCCTACTTCTCTGTGGAGCCAAAGACAGGTACTAACAACAGATACTGATAATTGTCCTGTCGTCGTATACAGATTTCTTATAGAAACAGTTTGAGGTGAACTATTTGGATATAATGTTGGACTTGATAGCACTTGGCTTATAAAATGTCACAAATGTTGACAATGTAAAGCCTTTGTGACAGTGAGATATCCTGTCTTTAGACTCTGTCCCTCTGGTACCAAGTCACTTTTGACAAGTTGAACACTATTGCTCACTTTGAGAGTTGTATGAACTCCCAACTTTATCTCTTACAACAACGCTTCATAGATTTAGCCGCTCTTTTGGTCCATTGGGAAAAGAGTCAGTGTTTACACCCTGAAACGGCTCCAACTCATTCTGATGCATGTGCATATACAGTACATTATTTACTCGGGTATCACGGAGGTCAGATTCAGCACCTCCCACACACATTGCTGACCTGAACTGTGAGGAGATGGGGAAGGAAATATTGGCGTCAATTTCTTAAATGCAAATAAATCCAATAAATAAAAGGGCAAATCCAATTTTTTTTTAGGGAGGCAAGAGTAAGTTTTTAGTGAGGAGTGGGCAGCAGCAGATGACTTCAAACCACTAAGTTGAACTTTTTGCTCATGGCTTCAGTTAACCTGCGAGCATATGTCTGGAGATGTATTCTATAGTTTTGTAATTGTCAACAAATCCCATAAAACATGAAGCCGACATCACATATTGGTTTCTTTAGAGGCATTGTGAAGCTGAACGATGGGGGTTGCCATTTTGGAAACTCTACCAATTGTGGTAAATCTAGTAACAAACAAAGAGAATGCACTTAGGCTTCTTTGGCCTCTTTGGCTACAGGGTGTCCACCTGCCAGTCAACTCAGCCATGCCACGTATTATGCAAATTTATGAATAACTCTTCACGCTTAATGTCATCCAAATGCAAGAGTTGTAGAATCATTGACTTGTGCTGCCAGTCTCGAGTGGAAATGCAGTTTTTTTTTTTTTACTTTTGCATGTTTGCGTTCAGTTTCAAACCATGTGAAGTAGAAACATGATGAAGAACAATCAGATACTGTGCATTTATTTACAAACCCGGATCACAGCAGCACAATATTTTCAGAGACTCTGAGCGTCCCATCTGAAGGGGGATGTTGGAGAAAAATGGCTGCTCTGTGATGATGGTGAACTATAATTTGTGACTTCTCTCTCTAATGGAATACCACTTTTTCAATATACATTTTTTTTAAATGTTTTTATAGGCAGACAACAAGCAGTTTTTGGGGGGTCTTTTTTTATTGCCCTCCCCAAACTAATGCCTTATACTTGAAAATGATGCCATGCCAGAATGCTTATTCAAATGTGTCCATGATACAACAGTAAGTTACTATAAGTGAAATAAGAGAATGACTGCAAAAAAACTTATGTCATGTTGGGTAAAGACTCAATGACCCAGCTGTTAAAATTTTAACTTTCGGTGTAAAATGTTTCTGTCTGTTTCTTGTTGCTGAGAGCTTTGACTTTGACCAGACAGTGTAGCACTGAATAATCTGAAAGCCTTCTCAGTATTTCTTTAGGTATTGATCAAGTTTGCAGACTTGAAGTTATTTGAGTGAGTGTGCAGCTCTCTTCAAGACTTCTCGAGGCAAAGTTTGCTGACTCCAATTTTCATTTTTTTTCACCCACAGATGCACTTGACGGTGTCTTAATAAACCCAGGGCCCCTCTTGTATATCTCATCTGTGTGTCTTTCTCCTACACCTGCAGGGATTATTGTAACATCCTGGCCAAACATGGACCGCGAGGCGAGAGAGGAGTACCTGGTGGTGGTGCAGGTGAAGGATATGCTCGGCCTGAGCGGCGGCTACTCGTCCTCCACCACCGTCACCGTCAGCCTCACTGATGTCAACGACAACGGACCCACGTTCCAGCACCGTGAGTTAGTGGTGGTGATGCAAACAGCGACAGACACACACACACACACACACACACACACACTCAGGGAATCAATGAAAGAGTACAAAGCATTGCAGACTGCGAGGACGTGTTTAATATTATACCTATGAGGCATTTATTTGATCACACTTCTCCGGTACGGGTGGGTGGTTCCCGCTGCCAGCGCCGCATTCGGCCGTACACATCTTGTTATTCAGACGGCGAGCTAAAATTAAAAGGATACAGCCGAAGAATGCGCGTGTGAGAGAGAGAAATGGGAAAGGGGATGGGACGCTCACACGCTCATGTGTCCCCCGCTGGATGAATTTAATCATTCACAGATGAAAGGACATTTGTCATGACCTTTGGAAACAAACCTAGCCTTCTCAGCAATAAACCTCACTAAATGAATGCCCTGGGAGGAAATCAATTCTGCAGAAATGAGACAGCAAGGATGAGACTTTTAACTATTAATGTCACATTCACATTCACTGCTGGTGTTACTGTATCCCATGGATTCCATGTTCAGGCAAGAGGCCTTATAAATATTGTATGACCACACTTCACTTTGAACTGTGCCCTCTGTTTTGTCACATAATTGCAAGTTATTATCTGCAGGGATTTTTCTCTCAAGCAGCTGGTTGCTGTTGAGTCCTCCCAGTTGTGGCAGGCATCCAAATAGAGTCCCTCAAAGACACAATCACATTTTCTCATCTTCTTATTAGAGTTACGCCGGGATTATGTGGAGTCGCCACAGTTTATCACTGACTCACACAAATTGACCCTCCAACACAATGTTCTCCCTTCTTATCACGCTACACACCAGCACACTCAGTCGACTATCTATTAACAACTTAACATCAAGTTCTGAAGGGATGATTTAGTTAAGAAACTTTTTGTTGTCATTTTTTTTCTACAAACACGAGACAGTATATCATTTTTTGGTTACATTTATGGTACATATTATATTTAATGATACAATATGTAGATTCCACTACCAGGGGGCTCTCAATCATTACTACAATGACAAAAGATGACGTTGAGGCTGGCGTGGAATCATGAGAGTTCTCTCTGCTAAAGAGTGAGAAGCAGCTACATTACGTGCACAAAGATTGCACCAGTAGCTTGCAGGTTGCAGGATATAAACGACGTCATCATCCCCTCCGACGCTGAATTTTCTTGATTATTACCTGCTGCACTACTACTTTTTGCAGAAATGTAACTAGATGGCTTGGGGGAAAAAAATCTGGTTTAAGTCGGGCTGAAGTAAAGTTCGGCCTTGTGTATCATTTTCAGCTCACCTCCAAAACGTTGAAGTGTTTTCAGGAGTTTTTGTGCATGTGTGAAAAGGGCTAATTAAGTGTGTTGAAATATTCTAGTCTGCGTTTCTGTGCAAATACAAAAGTCCTATCTATCAATAAGTAGAGGGTGTGCTTAGTGTATATATTTCTCTAAATGATTATTATTTATTAGTTTATTATTATCTATCACTTGATGACCCTTTTCTTCAACTCTGACTCTCAAATTATTGCAACAAATGAAATTCCCTCAAAGGCGATTAGTAAGTTTATCTGAACTCATCACTGCATTACAAATAAATCAATTTGTTATCATCTAGATTTCATATCCTACTTTACTGTTTAGGCTAATGGTGTCAACATGACTTTTTAATTTTTTTTATTTTTTAACCAGACCTGTACACCTTTGCCGTGCCTGAAAATGCAGCTTTGGGCACCACTGTGGGCAGAATAATGGCACAGGATGGAGACACTGGCACCAACGCCAGAATGACCTACAGCCTGGAGGATGACCTGGAGGAAAGCTCCACCTTTATCATCCAAACAGACCCAGTGACGCAGGAGGGAGTGGTTCTGCTAGCCAAGGTAAATAAAAATCAGATATACGATATAATTGTTGTACTTTCACTTAGGAATAAGTAGCCACCAATCATATTGCCCTCAAATCACATCATATCAAATCAGGTGTGTCTGACATTACAGATACCAGCAGGAACTACATTTTGAACAATCATTACACCTGATAAAGGGCAAAGTGACGTATCCTGGCACCCCCCAATAACCAGGCAAGCATGCTCACACAGAGACAGATGGCACACAGCAGCACAAGCAATTTTAAACCCACTGCTACACAGGTAGAAAAAAAAAAAGAAACAAATTAAATAAGATTCTTAAAAATTAATGAGGCTACCAGACGCTGCAGTGTAACAGCCTGGCACAGGGACCCAATAATCACACACAGACACACACCTGGCAGGAACAGCAGTATCAACACCTCTACAGGTCATAGACGATACGAGCACGGTCTGAGCACATGTGCAAAGTTAACTAGTTTGCTACCACACAACATCAGACAAGGATTACTTTCAATGATTGCACATCAGTGCTGACATCTGCCAGTTTCTGCTGTTTGACACTAACGCATACCGATTTCTGTATGTTATTGAGTAGGGCAGTGGTTCTCAACCTTTTTGACCTTTCGCTTCAGGACCCCTCCCCCGCGGGTGCTGAGGGGGAGTGTAGATTGATTGACAGACAGTCATAACAAGTCACTTAGTTAGATTTCTGAAGAACAGAAAATGCCTCTAACTGGCTAACAGAATCAACATCGCATCGCAACAAATTTAACTTGGTAAACTATCTATTTTACTTAACATACTCAACAAACAAAGCCATATGCACTCGTACTTACTGACATATTTTTTCCTTAACTCTTTGGAGAGAAACTAAAGAACAAATGCTGACTCATGCTAGTCTGTTCTGCTGCTCTGATCTACCTTAATAAACAGTCAATGTTTTGATCCAGTGACGCTGCATGACTCGCTCTTTATGTCTCAGCTCGATGTACGTTATCCCTCTGCTGCCTGCTTATAGTTGTTGGTGTGCAATGTGCTCATGGGTACATCTTTCCTCCACTCCTAAGCTTCTGTCTCCGGTATTAAAGAGAAACAAACACACAAGTGCGGCTTGTAATTAGAGTTAATGCCCATACTTCTTATTTACTTTCTGAAGCTATAACAGCAATATCTTTTTTTAAATATTGTTTTTTTTCCAAAGACTTCAAAAATCCTTTTTCCTAATTGGCTGTAATTCTTTCATTTAGATTTGACCCTGAGTGAGTAAGAAGCTCTGTGATTGTTCAGAGCTGAGCGCTGCGTTTTCAAGTGCTGTAGTTCACTATGAGTTAAATAGAAAGAGGGTCCATGGTACTTTTCTATTCAACGCAGTACTCAACCAGAAGTGTTTAATTAATCTTGTTGTCCTCTCAGACTTCATTCTCTTCTCCCCCTCGTTCAGCAGGCCCGTGCTTCTACTTTAAAGCCCTGGAGATTTCAACTCGATAATGAAATTTATAAAAAAAGAAAAACAATATTGATTCTGTCTGTGAATCATTTTAGGAATGCAGTAATGGTTTGCATGCTGTTTTCTTATTACAAGCATCATAATGTTTATTGAAACCGCAGCATTATTTAAGTACGTGCTCACAGCTGGCAGCTTATTGACATTGACTAAACAATTTTAACATCGAGTCTGGGATGCATCCTGCTCCCAACAGAATAATCAGCTGTCTTAAGTATGAGTTGGCAATACATATTTGGAAAGCTATTACTCTTTAATCTTGCCTAATGAGATTTTTAGGTGAAGAGCAACTGCATGAGTATGAATTTTAAAAGGGATGTCTTTCCTCCACAGCCGTTGGACTATGAAACTAAAAGACGTTTTGTCATGGCAGCGGAGGCGGTCAACGATCACGTGGACACTCGTTTTCTGCCTTTGGAGGAGTTCACGGACAGGACGACGCTCAAGATCATTGTGCAGGACGTGGACGAGCCGCCCGTCTTCCTCTCGCCGCTCTACGAGTGGAAAGTTCCTGAAAATGCAGCTGTGGGAACGGTGGTTGGCAGTGTTAGTGCTAGAGACACTGACACAGTCAACAATCCCATCAGGTAATGTGAAATGTCTCAAGCAGGAAGAATGGCATCTGCCACCCGACTGCCAGTATGATAATGACAAGGTAGATACCCGAGCTGGTGGGGGCGTAATGTCCCCAGACAGCCTGTCCTAGACAGCTTCCTCCACAGGGTGAAAAATCATTCCATTTCAAATAGTGTTACTGGCTCGGTGCATCCATTTTTACCCTTGATCTCTGGATACCCTGTACATGGTCATATTTATCTCATATTACTTTAGTAGGAAATGAGCCCTGCTGAATAAATCATGACGATTTTTTTTTTCATACCTCACAGGCTTTTCTATCTATTGCTGTGGTATTATCACAAAGCGACGTGGCTAGGACGTCGGAATGTAATAAAGCACCATACAAGGTGGCATATGGAATTGAGATTTGCAGTCATTTGCAAGTGGAGCACGTTGCAGAGGAGACAGCAGCAGTAGTGGTGCCTGCAGTCCATCTCGACCGAGCTTAAGAGTGGCAGGTGCTGCATATCATCCTCAGCCTAGCGTCTATTACTGTCCCTTTGGTGACAGTGTCTCATTGATTAATAAATTCAGACTGACATTTTAGGGGTTTCCACAGCTCTACTAAATATGATGAAGTTTGCTTTGGTCAAATTGGCTTATTTCCATGTTGTTATCAGCAAAGAGGCTCCCAGAAATGATTCATTATTAGATTAAATTGGTGTTCTAATCACTTATATTAATGAATGTTTAAAGTATGGTGGTGTAAAGACCAAAAACATTTCTCAAAGGTCACATATTATTCTCCTTTTGAACAAGTTAAAATAAGTCTCAGAGCTCCCCAAAACATGTGTGTGAAGTTTCTTGTTCTAAATCCACTCTGATCCTGTATTTGATCATGCCTATAAACCCCTCTATTTCAGCCCTGCTCAGAACAGGCGGTTTCTGTGTCTGTACCTTTAAATGTAAATGAGCTGTGTCTGACCACGCCCCCTCTCTGGAAGGGCTTGATGTCTTTGGCTTTCTCGCTCCATGCCCTATTGATTATGTTTAGAAGGCAGATTCAGAGGGCAGAACAAACACCTAGCTGTGGGAGTGTCACCCACCTGGGAGAGGGGTTACTGCCCTTTGTGATGTCACGAAGGGAAACTCTCCAAACGGCCTGTTTGAGCACACATTTTTGAGAAAAGTGGAGCAGAAAAAAGACAATGAGGATGGACTTTTCTCATAGTTGGGAGGTTTGTAGATAGACTTTTTGCATGATATGCCATTTAAATAAAAGAAAGTTTTCATGCATTGTGAGTGGATAATTAATGCATATAAAGGTTTACAGAGAAGGAAACATGACAGCCTCAGGAATATGTGTAAAGCTAACAAAGCTTCACCATTTACAGAAATGTGTAGACATACTTTTAATCACTTTTAAAAAGACTGAATAGAGTTGTTTGCAAGATTTCTAATCAAACTGTTTTTTAATTATATTTCCTGATTAGAAAAATGTTAGAATTCTGCCAACTAAATAGCAATAACGTTCCTTTAATATCACTGAAAAATTAACTAGAAAATTGTACTTCTGCCATCTGCGTACGATGCTTTGTTTTCACTGTTTTGCCGTGTCTGTCTCACAATAGCTCATGTGTTCTCTCTTTGTTGGATATCTGTCATTGGTTGAAACGTCTGAGATGTCTGCCTAATTAATCTCCCATTGGTATCACAATGTTTTCTTTGTTGTTGCCCAGAAAACAACCTTCCCTGCTAAATATGTGTTTCTATGATTTTTTCCTTCAGATATTCGATTGACAAAAGGCGCGACACAACAAAAGCTTTCAAGATAGACCCAAACAATGGGACCATTACTGTCGCTAAAGCTTTGGACCGAGAGACTTCAAACTGGCACAATGTTACTGTTGAAGCCAAAGAAACAAGTAAGAAGAATTTCATGTCTTGTACAATAGAATGTTTTTGATATGGTAAAATGCTGGCAGATTTATCCGCATTCAGCACTGAAACCCGTTCAGAAATGATTCACTGCAATGTGTTGATGTAATCTATGTCTACAGCTGAGCAGTGACTCACTTCTGCAGTTGACAAATTTGAAATTGAACGTTTGTGCTAACTTAAATCATATATAGAAAAGACAGCTCCATTAAAAACCCATTTAAATGTATTAACAAGGATGCACAAAGGTTAGCAGCTTTTAGCTAAAAGAAATGATGAAACGTGATGAACAGTTGACAAATCTGAAAGTAGAAGTAATGAATTGTCAACATTTTTAATTTAAAGTAGTAGTTACTCGTACAAACAGATAGTTAAAATACTGTCCAATGTGTTTTAAAAGTAAACTGAAGAACTATCAAATATTTAAGAAAGTTAGCTTAAAGTTTTGATGAAGTTGCTGAATTTAACTGTTTATATCTTACAAGGTTTAAATGGTTGACTTAAAAAACGGCAGTAGGGACCTGGTTGGGAACCTGAGGGTCCCTGTGTAGACGAGCCTGAAAATTGGTCTGGTAGCCGAAGAGGTGCCCCTTCAATTCATGAGCACCTCCAAGATGCCCTTGAGCAAGGCACCGAACACCCAACAGCTCTGCCACTCGTTCTTGCAGCCCCCTCACTCTGATATCTCTCCATCAGTGCATGTCCATAGGATCCTGTTTGTGCATGTGTGTGTATTTCAGCCTATATGTGTGTGTAGCTTGTCTCAATAACAGAGTGTACAAATTCAATTTCCAGACGCTGGATTAATAAAGTACATCTTTTTCTTCTTCTTCTTCTTCTTTCGCTAAAAAAAAAAAAATGATACAATTATTCAGTTCAGAAAAACTTTCAGCTTGAACAATTTATTGAGCTGTTGACAATTTGTAAGAAAAGAGGAACAAACTAGCATTCAAGATGCTAGCTAGGAACAATGACTAGCTTGGTGAAATCGCCAAAAGTTGGGATGGTGGAACAATGAGTTTATCTGATGGGCCTTTGGAAGTATTTTTGAAATGTTGGGAACCACGAGACTAGAATGATTCTAACACTCAAATTCCCACCAAAGATGATTTTTTTGTCTATTATTAGTGTTGGTTTGAAAAGGAGCAGGGAAAAGTATATGCCCTTTTTCATTTTTACTTCCACTGTTGTGTTTGAAGAAGGAGAAACATTCGTCAGTCTTAAGCATTATTTTGTCAGAGCTTTTACAAAACATTTATGATGCATGCACCCAGTGGACTTCAGCAAATGTCTGTCTTCACTACTGCAGCGCAGAACCATTTATCCTCCTCTGTGGTGGTGTTCGTCAAAGTGCTGGACATAAACGACAATGTGCCAAGGCTTGCAAGAGATTACCAGCCATATATCTGCGAGGGGACACAGGCGGGACAAGTATGTATATTATGATGCACTGATGTTCTGGATTTAAAGCATGAAAGTGCGGAAATTATAAATCCAATGAATGATAGCCGTAAAAGTTGCGTCACATTGTGAGAAAACAATTCCACTATTTTGTTCCTAAATAGTGAAAGACTCATGAAGGACCATTGGTCTATTGTGCATGAATCCATAACATTTTCAGCTGCTGAATGAGATTCTTCACATTTCCCAGAAAGGAAATACCAAGGCCGCATACGATTACGTCGACTTTCTGGGGAATCTGTTTGTGTAATTTCCAGTAATGGGTCTCTTTGTGTTTCAGCTCATTCAGCTGCTCAATGCTGTTGATCCAGACGACCCCGTGGAGGGACACCACTTCTACTTCTCCATGGTCCCCGAGAAGCACATCAATCCAAACTTCACTATCAGAGATAATCAAGGTTATGTTTAAGGAAATATTTCACGTAGGATACCTCAGTAACTTTTTTAACTTATTCACTCGTGATTGTTGGTAGCAACTTTGTCCCAGGCTCTGTCAAGACTGAAAGAGCTTCTCTTATTCGTGTACTGATGTGCTTACAGCAATGGTTTAACATTTAGGGATAGGTATTGGCTTTCTTGCCTCGAGTCTAAAAACTAAGGAGCATGTTTGACATTTTGGTAAATATGCTCAGCCAAAGAAAAACTCCCATATCTTCTTCTGATTGTGTTGTAAAGTAAATGGTAAATGGACTTGAGCTTATATAACAAGTATAGAAAGTCTTCTGACTACTCAAAGCACTTTTACATCACATGTCACACCTACACATTCACACACTGATGGTAGAGGCTGCTATGTAGTGAGACCATCAGAAATAACTAATCCCATTCATACACATTCATACGCTGCCAACGAAGCAGATGGAGCAATTCAGGGTTAGGTGTCTTGCCCAAGAACACTTCGGACATGTGGCTGCAGGAGCTGGGGATCGAACCCCTGACCTTCCAGTTGAGAGACGACTGACTCAACCAACTGGGCCACAGCCTCCCCTGTGCCCCCACAGTGTTAGTTTTTGTTTAAGACACACAAAAGCAAAGAATAAAAGAAGACCACCGATACTGACAAACATGGAGATGATGATAGTGACTCCATGGACACTGAATGATTAAACAGCTGGCTGGAAGCTACGACAGCTATCATCCTAATATGACAGCGATAATGATACGACAACAAAGTCCGTCTGAGATTCACTGTCAAAAAGCAGGCAGCTACTGTTGTATAAAAAGAGGTAAAACATCTGTTTGTTTTCTTCTCACAGCCATGAACCAGTTTGTGAATGACCTTGGTTTGTGTATTTGTTCTATTTTACCAAGAACTGTCATTTGCAAATTACTTATTTAAAGTTTTGTGGAGGGGGAAAAAAAGATAAAGCCACATCAAAAGTTTCATTTGGTGGCTGGAGTGATGATAAACTGTGTCTAAAACACAACCTGTATGAGCAGTTTTGCAACTATTTTAATTGTTTTTATTAAACACAAATTTAATTTAAAACACTTTGCATGTATAAGTGTAAATGTGGCACATTTTGTAAGAAAAAGCCTCAGTAGGTTGTACTTTTTGTGGCTGACAGCCTCTAGAGCGAGTGAACTGAGTGTGTTTGCCTTGTAGTCAGTAATCAGTCAACCCCCTTTTTTTTCCAAGTGTATAATGAAAATGGGCAGTAAAAATCGAACAGTGTTGTTAAAGTGTGCAGCAGAGGGATGTTTGAATGTGTCCCAATACGTTAGAATGAAATTTATGCAGGTGTACTGAATGGGTGGTTAGCCACGCAGGCACAACAGTCAAGTCAGCAACCAGGTGAAGAATAACGATTCAAAAGAAGGAACACATTTGTTAAAACACATTTCCATGCGCCACGAGGCAAATTAGGGTCTTATGAATGAAGCCAAAGCTGAAACAGTTTTCCTTAATTTGCTTTACACAGAAAATGAGATTCGACAAACTTTCAGAAAGCTCAAGTTGTGTTTTAAATCACATTATATTTGTCACATCACTTATCAATCTGCCTAAATTTCTTCTTAAAGCTACTGTCAGCCTGCCAGTAGTTCTTTGCTGGTTGTGAAAAACACTGATATTAATATTAATGCCTCTTTATGAGCTACTGGAGCGAGGAAGACTGTTATTGACAAGATTGACTATTTCTACATGATTCTTTTTAATACCAGAAACAGCCGGTTTGGGTAGGTTTCATTCAGTCACTAACAGCATACTGCAGAATATATATTTTTTTTTTAGCCTTTATGCCTTTAGTGGACAGGACAGCTGAAGAGAGACATGAAATGTTGGGAGGAGAGAGTGGGGGAGGACATGCAGCAAAGGGCCGAGGTCAGACTCAAACTTATACATAACCGCTAGGCTATCTGCGTTTCAAACTGGAAACACATTTGATGAGTCATATCTTTTACTTAATAAAAAAAGTTAGATTTTTTTGTTAAAAAGGAAACAACTTACATATGTACAGCGAAAAGAGGTATCACTGTCCACAGGGGGCGTAAAAATCTAGACCTACCTTGAGTTTCTTTCAGGAACTTTAAACATTGGAGTCAGCGCTCATTTATTTTTCAAGTATTCTGAAAAGCTTTTTCATTCACTTCACTTTTAGACAATACAGCCGGCATTGTTGCACGCAGGAGTACTTTCACCCGCAAGGATCGAACCCAGTACCTCCTGCCTGTTGTGGTGGCGGACAGCGGCTCTCCAGCTCTCTCCAGCACCACCACTTTAACCATCAGCGTGTGCAGCTGCCAGCCGGCCGGACACTGTCCCACAGGGGGGGTGGAGGCCCTCGCTCTGTCTATGGGTGTCAGCCTGCAAACCTTGTTAGGCCTTCTGGTCTGCCTGGTCACACTCACAGGTATGCTAGCATGCTCTTAATTTGTATTTTTGTCCGACTGAAGTCCACAAATCAAAATGATCAGCCTATAAAATTAAAAATTCTAAAAATAAAGCTGAGAATTATTTTTGGAGATTTGTCCATTGGATGTTTTAGCCATCTGTTATCATCGGAGATTCTATAGTGAAGAAAATGAAAAACTAAGGCTGCAGATTAGTGCATTTAATTAAAAATGTACAAATATGGAGCCCAAAACTGACGGCCGTTAGGGTCACAAAACTAAACTAAATACAAGAATAAGTGAAAGAATACATTGATAAATAATACTGTTTTTACATATTTCTTTTTTTGGGGGGGGTTTGCCTTTATTTGATAGGACAGTGGGAAACCAGGGAGAGAGAGTGGGGAATGACCTGCAGGAAAGAAGACAGAGGTCAGACTTGAACCTGGGCCGCAAACTTGAAGGATTATATATTCCACACATTGGGCGGGACCTAACCACATAGCCATCATGGAACCAATAAATAAAACTTATACGTGTATAAAGTAAGAAACAGAATTTGAGAATTATGAAACTTACTTTACTCATTTTTTTATCTTTCCCCATTGATATCGTTTTTCTATTTGCCTCATTTTTGTTTACCTAATTCCTCAATGAAACTCCAGAAGCTGCTACACCTTGAAACAACTGTATGACTGTTGCTCCATGAAGTCTTACAGCAGTAAAATCATCTGGCAGGCTAATGCTAAGATGCTAACAAAGTTAGCTAGCTAATGCTACATGGAAGTATACAGTATTTGCATGTTTTTTAAATTAGAAAATAGACATCAGTCATCAGTTAAAGCTGCTGTAAACAGAGCTTTCATATTGATTTCTTTTTAACTTAATTTTCATTTTATTTATTGATGTATTCATATCAGATGTTTTCCAATCTTTTAATTCTATTCTGGGCTCCATTTATAAACCCGACAGGCTTGCCAGATGACAGGGTGTTCACATGTTTCAGTAAAACTATCAGATTAGATCGAGAGGTGATTTCTTTTTGTAATTATACATGGCTAGACCTTTAACAACTTCTTAAGGTCCAGAGCAATCCGAGAGTAAAAGGCAGATACGCAGATGGTTGTTGAAACAATGGTAACACGGAGAAGAAGAAGAAAAGAATTCCAGAGAATTATCCAGAGGGTTGTGTTCCTGGAGAGCTGCATCGTCAAACACCAAAGATCTTGTTCTGCTGATCTTTTTGGCAAGGGTTGTCAGGGAGATTGACAAGACTGACGTTTGGCTGAACATGATTATTCCGTCTCAGAGGCATGTTGCAAATGTAGTTTGTTTTGTTTACATGAGCATTGGAAGAGTACTAGAGAGATGATTGTTTTTTTGCACTGTGGCTTCAGAAGTAGTTTCCTTGGTGATGTAGAGTGATATTTCCAGAAGACAAACACTTTTAGCTTTGAATAATAAAGCATCTGTGAAAATTTACCACGACGCTGACGGCTGAGCTGACCAACTTATCCAGTGTTGAAGAGTTACTTTATGCCTCTCTGAGTTCTGGAGTTAGAGAGTTAATAAAACAATGCTTTTCTCACTGTCATTTGTTGTTAAGAAGAAAGTCGTTCTTTTTCAGCGGATCTGTTGAGCTTAAGCAGTTCCAGCCTCACATCATTTTGGCAAGTATCAAAACGTGTGCTGAACAGCAGGATTCTTCATTAACAAATTTGCACTTTCATTTGATTCCCCGTTTTAAAAACTCACCAGTGTGCCTTTAACACACACTTTTAAAATGCTGAACGCTTGCAGAGCAATGATGTTGGGTAATGAGCGTATTGGTTGCAATACATCAGCAGCAATGCCACCCTGGGACATTGATGGGTTTGCATAGTGAAGAGCTTTATTATGACCTCGGCTGCTTTGTGTCCTCCCTATGCCCATCACATGAAAGATTAATGGCAATACCTGCTATGCTAACATTGTGTCGGATGAGCACAAAAGCCTGTGAAAACAATCAAGCATTCTTTCAGCATTCTGTGCCACAAAAAAAAAAACTTTATGTGCGAGGTGAAATTAAAAAAATAATTCATAGCCTAATTAACACTCGTTTTGTGTTATGCATCCACAACAAGCACAGAAAAACAAATCTGGCTGCTATTATTTTCCACCCATGCTCCGACACCCGGGCTGCTTTTTCCCCTCACAAAGCTCATGCCCTGGTGTTTAGCTGTAATGATCTCCCGCTGTGTTGTGTCTGCAGTGCTGTCAGTTCTAATGCTGATGCTGAGGAGACACAGGCGGAAGCAGCAGGAGGGCCTGGAGGTGGAGGTGAAGGAGCTGGAGCTGCCAGAGACGGTGTCGCAGAAGGTGCTGTATTACGGGGAACTCGGGGGAGGAAGAGCTAACCTGGACTTCTGTCAGCCTGTGGTTCCGCTGCGCCCCCACCCAAGGAGGAAGGAGAGGAGGCTGAGGAGGGAGGACGTCCGAGCAAGCATACGGATGTCCCTCCGGGAGTCGCACCTCATCGGGCCGGAGGATGATGTCTTCAGGCAGTTTATCCTGGACAGGCTGGCAGAAGCAGATCAGGATCCCTATGTTCCCCCATTCGACTGCTTAAGAACCTACGCTTACGAGGGGTCAGGCTCTCCCACTGGGTCCCTGAGCTCGCTGGACTCTTTGGAGCTTTTACCAGAGCAACCTGTTCGTAATTCCAGACCCTGCTTGGTGAGACTCACCCCTTGGTATGGGGGAGGAGAGGAGGACACCATCTTCTAAAAGGGGTTATCTTATAGAAGGGCTGTTCTTCCTTTTGGCTGTTTCCCCCTTTTTTCAAAATCTTTATGGTAAGCTAAGCTAACTGGCTACTGGCTGGAGCTTCATATTTATTATACAGAGAAGGAGCGCTATCAGTATTGCAAAGTTACTCAGCAATTAAGCAATGTAATGCTTATAATTAACCCTTATATAATGGCATGTATCCATTTTGTCTGGTGATTTTTTTTTACCATGTTTAAACATGAATTACATAATTTAAACCATTAGTATGTTATCTATAATTACGCTAAAGTGCACTTATAACAAGCTCTGCTTGAAGATTAAGTTCGACTGTGTCAGTGCCTTAAATTAAAAGGAAAGGATCTCTCATCTGTACTCATTCATATGGAACAATCCATGTCATCCATGCTACGTCACCTGTATCATTCATCGGTTTTAAAATGGGCAGTTTGCCTCCGTTCACAATTCTCTGTTTGGTGCAACCATAACCATCAGCCCTCAATAACTTTAAAGCTGCATAACTTATTTTTTGACCAATTGGGGCATGGGGACATGATTGACAACACAATGTTGTCAAATTTTTCAAATTGGTATAGCAAACATTTCTGCAACCTTTTCTTGTTGTTTTATGTAACAATGCAACATTGTTACCAGATTTGGCAAATTGTCATAAGAGTCATAAAAACAATTACTTTTTTTGATGCAACATCATCCTTTATCTGTCGTTGGTGGAGAACAAAACCGAGTTAGAAAGAGAGAACATTTTGCACGTGGAACAATTATATGGGTTTTTAACTGGTTGCTCTGCCACTATGATTAGCTAGTTTCTTCTGCTGTGTTGTCCTGGGTAGCTTTACTTTAGTTTTCCACTAAAACCAGCTGGAAAACAGGTGGTTTGGACTCTGCTAGAAGTCAATAACATTAACGTGAAACTTTCATTTGATGTTGACTTGGTCAACGTTTACTGTACGCCAATATCTTACTACAACATTGCTAAGATTTGTCCCCAAGTTTGAGGTAGGTATCAACTCGTTTGTTGAGCAACAAGCTTGTTAAAGTCACTACTGATTTAGAATTGGCACCTATGAACAAAGTGGGTACTCCTGAAGGTATATTATACCATCAATGTAAGTGAGGGTTTTACTTTTTGTAGAATTACTCACTTTTACATTTTTTAACATTTTTATTTGGTTTGTCAGCTCCAATCTGTTCCTTCTGTGTTTGTGCTGTATTTACAACATGAAATTATACACATGCATGTTTACAGTACTATGGGTAAACTTTATTCCCGGATTAGGCGTATTCACACATATATGAAAGTTCATATACAGAAAAGTAGGATATCCATAAAAAATCAGCTGTTTGATATGTTCTATACCGTGTGATATGGATTTCTGCTCTTTAAATAAATCACCACAGGGCACATCACACTAGAGTACACAAGTAAGCCAATCAGCAACTGAAAGAGCACAAGGGTGACTGGCAACAAATCTCCAGCTGAGGGTGGTTAGGAAATGATAAATATGTTGGCTGAGGCATGATTGGAAATTTACAAAAGAATTCAAACTCTTCAGAATCACAACAGCTTGAGTGCTGGTGAAGAAAACAAATAATATATAGTCCCTGGCTCTCTTCCTCCTTCATGGTCATTTACAGTTTTATTGGCAAACACTACATGCCCACAGTTAGTTGTGTGGGTGGCTGCTCGAGGGGTGGCTCGAGGTAATTGCATGGGGAACAGGTCCAGCCCCCCTTCACCTTCTCATGCACTAATTGGGCTGTTTGCTGTCTGCCAAGGTCAGTGTTTGAACCACAAGAAAAGTACTTCTCAGCGATGAAAAAACTCAAGAAATTAATAGGAAAAAATGACTTGGAAAGTAGCTGGAATGCCTCAAAAGTAACAGACAATATGCAGGAAACAACTAATTGCTGGAGTCTATTCAGCTTTTTCTTTGCTGCCGCGGTTACTTGTATGAGGAGGCGTGCCACACAGCAGGACAATTTCCAGACATCTCTGCAACTCAAAGTGAGCTTCAAATAGCTTCCGCTGTTGGAAACAATCTATCCGGCCAGCGCTTTTTAGACTAAATCATCTCACAAAGGCTTCTAAAGACACAGGTGTTCACAAAAAAGGCCTTTTTAAAGTTCTTTCAAAGCAATCTCCACCGTCCAACATGTAGGGTATTGGATTTGCCCATAAAGCCTCTGTTCTAATTCCCTTTTCAAAAGAACCTTAAAGTCAAAAGTCATTCAGCTCATGGTGTCATTTAACCTTCTGAATTTCTGTCATTACCCATGGTGAATATCACGGGTAATTTAACCTAACAGCCTTTTTCTTTGTGTAATTATACCCATTACAGCAATGTGAAGGATTCCACTCCGTCAACTGTCTCTGTCCGCCGCTCGCCCGCACAGGTTATAGATTCAGCTCTTCCTTTCAAACCTGGTGCCAAACTCATCACAAAGCACCACAATGCTCACTAGAGGGTCTTTGAGAGGGGGCTCTCATTTGGCCGACAGAGAGCTGATTGAAAAGATGCCTGAAAGGATTTTGAAAGCCATTTAAAAAAAATCATTAGGAACATGTATGCCTTAAGGTTTGGCTGAAGAGAGATCAAATCTTTCATGTGCAATTTGGTATCGTGAACATAATTATAGACTGTAACAGAGAAAGATCTGGACGTTGTTCTGAGTATCACAGTAGTGTTTCATCGGTCAAACTCAAGAGTCTGTGAATGTGTATCTAGACAATAATTGTGCATGGTAATTCGTATTTGCAGCAATTTCAAATAAAGTTAAAAAAGTAAGGACTTCTTGAATAAATTATTTGGGTTTCAGGGCTTGGTTTGCTGGTAAAACAGAACTTTTAGAGTAACTCTTGGTAAAAAAATGTTTTAAAAAATCGGAGTCTGGGAAGGGCACTGGATTTGAGGGGAGAAAAATCAGAACTGAGAAAACTGGGCCCTCGTTTGTGAAAGGACATCAAACATGCAAGTCTGTATAGCAGTAGAGTCAAGTTGGCGCTCGTCAAATGGCTTTTCATAGGACTTGAAATTCCCTCCAATGGCCCTGCGTCCATTTGGTTGAATTTGTTCATTGACCTTATTGGTGTGACAGTTCAAGTATAGGTTTATAACCAATCAAAGTCTGGTGCTTACCAAAATCAATGTTGAGGATATGGTCTTGACAATGTCACAAATACATTCTGTTAGGGTTTGGAATTGTGATCTAACCTATATCTGACTCTGCAGATCTGAGTTATTCAGCTCTGGTAGTGAAGTCATTTTGCATTACCAAAGTGTCTAATTCAATATCCATATTTCCATAACTTAGTATACCAGAAAAAGATCAAGTATCTCCCAATAGATGCATCAAATTCATGAGACCATTAATAGGAGGACTTCCTACCAGGTTTGGAAGCATTTTGCAGAATTCAAGCAAACATGCTTCCTTAGAAAACCAGACCCACAAGCTTTTGTACAGCGGAAGGCACCTCACATCTCAAATCATCAATAATTCATTTGAGTGTTTTTTTCCCACGACTGGAACAAGCTTCCAGAACAAACTGAACTCATTGATGGGCATTAAAGTTTTACTTCTTGATTTTTTAATCATATTTTTTTCAGGCCTAACTTGTATTAATCTTGATGTTCAATAAGACTTCCTGAATAAGAAAAGCTGCCTCAACTTTTGAATGAAACCCCAGTGTTTTCAGAGTCAAAATTTGTTTTTTATTCTCATGGAAATTAGACTCTTGTGTTCTGCGTCTAATTTATTTATGCTTGGGCAGCATGAGCATTAGAAATTCACAAGAAAACAATTCTGTACACATTGTTGAATATAAAGAATGATAAGCTGCTTGAGAAGATGGAGATATAATATCTTGTACAGTAGAATGCATTTCTAAATATGATTCATCTCATATTTTAAATTCTATATTGATCAATCAGTGATCCCAATAATGTCAAATAACAAGCAATTGAATGGGAATGTGACGGACATTATAGAAGGATGAAGAAATCGTGCTTAAACATCCCAATAATCAATCTAAAAACACACCCAAGGCAGTAAAAGATGCAAGCAACACTGACACTGGCAGCAATTACCTCCAAATGTGAGCCCCATGTGTGCTGGAGTCAAATCTGACAGCAAATGTGTTAAAAGATTATGCAAACTTTAATATTTCAGGATTTACAGAATACATTTCCTGCAAGTTATTTCATGTGAGCCTTCTCTATTCTGGTCCTTTAATGAGCTTTCCTTCATTGCGATGAGACTTGGGGATTGTCAGACTTTGAAATGAAATTAATAAGTAATAATGCAAAAACTTTGGAAACTTGTTTTGTTGCCCTTCAGAGGCTAATTGGTGGCTGTTTTGGAGGCTAATAGGCAACCCTGTTTACAATACAGTTGTTGTGATGCCTGAGGCAAGTGAATTATTATCAGGAGCATTTGTACTCAAGGTTTTGCTCAGGGTTGATTCACCTGGCCAGCTCCTTTAACTCCCAACTAATCTGAAAGGGCAGCTGAGTCGGTGGCACAACGCTTCCAAATATGAACATTTATATACCACTCTGGCACCAGTGCTGAACTAGAGCTGTATACGTGAAAATAATATAAAGACTGAATTGAATTTAAAACATCAGAGTTACTTTATGAATTTTAGGTGATTGAAAATAAACAGGCAAATTCCAGTTGCATTTAAAAATACAGCTGGCAGTCAAATATTTCACATTTTGCGACTCATTGACGCACAATAATCTACTCTATAACATGAGGATAATTGAGTAGGTCTTTCCCATGCCTTAGAAATAATTGGTGAAGTTTCTAAAAAAAAAACACAATGATTTGGGTTTCAACAAAACAAATTGTGTACAGTACACTAGTTACATAACTTACCAAGGTAACCTACCTGACATACTCTTTATGAGACACCTTAAAAAGACATAAAGAAGTAAACATTGACTATCACGTTTTTCCCTTCTCCAGAGACCCATTTCATGAAAAAAATAAAATCCCTGTGACCTTTAAGAAAGTCCTCTCTTCAGTGCGCTTCATTTTAAATCATCTGACTTCAACACCACAAAAACAACAAACTAGAGGACATAGTACCAACAGCATCATATTTAGTCACAAATTGCAACTAGCAAAGCTAACACATTTAAAGTCTTTGGAGGGATAAGTTGATCTGGCAGAAAACAATAATTTCAAATCGACCATTTTCTAAACCCATCCCAACATTAGCATGAATCAATATGAGCGATGCAATTTGAAATGGGGTTATTTTTTCTTAACTCTGTTGGGGGACGAAAATGAGAACAAAGGCTTATAAGCAAAGGCTAACAGTCAAAATGTTGTAACCAGCTAGCTAAATGGTTAACAATGCTAGCAGTGTTCGAGACGGTCTAAAAGCATGATAGCTAGCTTAGTTGGGTCCATGTGTTAGCTCATTCTGGAAACACCAGAGTGTGTCACTGTCCATCAAGTCAGCACAAACTTTGTTCTAGACTCTCAAACAGCAGAGACATTGTTGGCATCAGCTGAATCATGCTGAGTGATGTCATAATGATGTTGGCCACACATAGACGTCCTCAAAGGTTTTTATTTCAGACTAAAGCACATAGGTTTACTATGTTTGAGCAACAGAAACATTTTGGCAAAGCTAGCCTGTGTGGATGCTTGTACAGCACTAATCAGTAATTACACTGCCAACCAGTAACGAAAAGATAACCCCATCGCCTCAACACATCAACATCTACTTTGCCATCATTTCCCTGGCATTTCCTTTGACAAATTAGATTGCAATTCAGCACGGCTCATGATGCTACTCAAGTGGCAATAGAGCGGCATTATGAATGGCGGTCATTCTCCTACTAAAGACTCTTCAATCCCCATCACAGTGAATATTATCTCTGACAAAGTGTCCTTGGTACTCACAACGCTTCTCAAATTTCCTGTTTGTCATTTATGTGGGGAGCACATTTATTTTAGTAACTAGCTCTGTACTTGGATAAATCATTCACATAAATGAGTCGTCCAAGCGTTGTTCGGCCTCAAAGTTAGTATTGATGTTAATGAGGCGGAAGAATTCATCAAAGATGTTGGAGCTGCTGAATTGGTTTCCATTGAAAAGACCCTCCAAATATTCATATAGCTCACTCTCCTTGAATCCTAAACAATCACAATGCATCCATATCTCCCTCTATTCCAAGCCAATTGTAAATGAACTTGAGCTGGTCTAGTGCTTTTCCAGTCTTCTGACTACTCAAAGTGCTTTTTACACCATAGGTCACACCTATCCATTCACACCACATTCACACACTGATGGCAAAGGATGCCACGTAAAGTGTCCATCAGTATTAACTAATCAATTCATACATTTCATACACCCTTAAAGTAGCAGCAGATGCAATTTTGGTGTCTTGCCCAAGGACACATCGACATGTGGTTACAGGACCCGGCGATCGAACCCCCTGAATTTCCAGTTGAGAGATGACCGACTCTACCATTGAGCCACAGCCGCCCCAACACAGTCACAGCAGATGGATGCTCAACATCAGTCTGGTTGTGCTCAAGGTTTTTGCCTGTAAAAAGGACGCCAAGTGTTTTGCTCATGGTGGGTTAATGTTCGGCATCTGCATGATGTTGGTGAAAACAACCAAAACTGTGAAATCGACATCGGAATACCAAAACAAAGAGCTGAAAGAAGCTGCATTGGATCAAGAGGAACTTCAGATCCTGGTGGTAACTGCATATAGATTCTTTACTAAGAAGAATACCTTTTACAGTACATTCAATAGACCAAGGTCATCTTATTGTATATAGCATTGATTATGGCAGCTTTTGAAATGTATAGCCACATTTTCAGGGACTTTAGGTCAGAGGTTGCAAGAGAGCTTTTAGCAGCGACACAAGTTGCTTGATATTGTTTGTTTTCTCTTTAGGTGAGTATCTGGCAAAAAGGTAAATCCATTATGAGTGTGGGTATGAGCTTTCTAACATCCTGAGAATGTTCTTAACTGAACATCTCAGGGACCCAAGCTGTGAGGGAGAAACTCTAGGAAACAGCATGAAAAGAAAGGAGTGAGTCATGGGTCAAAAGAAGAAGCTTTTAACAAAGTTTATTATATATCGAATCTCTGGTTGAAGTATGTCACCATCACTTTGTCAATGCTGTGATATCGATCACAGGAAAAAAAAAGTCATGAACGATTTGAATCTGTTGGTTTTAAACGCTGTATATTATTACTTTTCAAGGACACTACAGCAGTTATTGTGTGAAGAGAGTGGTCAAACTGACACAAAACACAAACTAAATTAACAACACATTTCCAACTGGATCTAATAATGTGTTTTTCTTTGTTGTGACTCATCACAGGAAAGGTGTTCCCTCTACACATCTGCGCACGAGACTCCTTCATCGAATCAAAATACTCTCTCATCTTTTTTTATTCCTACTTCTTCTTCTTCTTCTCGAAGGACTGCAAAATCTTGAAAGATATGCTTTCCACTTATCATACCTAACACATCCACTTGATCTGATTTCATATTGTTCTTACCTTAGCTCTGTGCTATGAAACTACTATTATGGAATACCAAAAGGCCTCGGGTCCAAAGTGAAAAGTCCCATTAATAAAGAAGAGATTACTTTCACTTGCTGTCAAGGCCCTGGTGCTGCTAAAGGATTGATGCTCGAACATTAAATCAGCCCCTTGAAAGGTCCTTCCAAAACTCCACCAGTGCCAACTGTATAGGATATTTTTTTCTCTATCATGTTTCACTCTCAGGGCATGACCAGTGGTATTAT